CAATAAAGACGACATCATCAACATTTGGTTTAAATTAGTGTTGTCAAATCGTACAGTTTTGACTAGCCGGTTACTTGGGTAATCGTTCGACCGATTAACCGGTTAACCGGTACTTTATGTTGATGTTTGAAGGCCTTATCTATATACATGTATATAGTACCCTACAAATGTACATTTTTGTAATACGATGAATTGAAGTTGGCATTATAAGGCTTGTCTGTGAGGATTTCTGGCGAAGTTTGACTTTTAATAATCCAATTTCCTGTATCAACTATAATAAAGAAGATGTGGTATGATTGCCAATGAGACAACTGTCCACAAGAGACCAAAATGACACAGAAATTAACAACTATAGGCCACCGTACGGCCTTCAACAATGAGTAGAGCCCATACCGCATATTCAGCTATAAAAGTCCTCGAAATGACAATGTAAAACAATTAAAAAGAGAAAACTAACGGCCTTATTTATGTACAAAAAATGAACGAAAAACAAATATGTAACACATAAACAAACGACAACCACTGTATTACAGGCTCCTGACTTGGGACAGACACATACATACATAATGTGGCGGGGTTAAACATGTTAGCGGGATCCCAATCCTCCCCCTAACCTGGGACGTTTGTACTGACTTCAGATTGATAAATAAAAAACCTTCTTGATCACGTCGAATTTAAAATGTCTGAAACCGATGATTCTTTCATTTTTTCTTGATGTCTAAGAATAATGTGGGGAGTTTCAATTTGAAATAATTAAACCTGTTACTCGTAGCATCAATTATACATTAATTACATCCAAGCTGATTTGCATTTCACAATTTATGAGTTGGCATTTCGTTTAAAGTATGACAAAGCCTTGCACGATGGAGGTTGTACATTCAGATGTAGGTCTACGCAATAGCAAATCAAAAATAAAATAATGGAGTAAATCGTAAAATTTAATCGGATAACTGATTTAAAGTTACTGTTTAACAACATGTATGCTAATTATGTTTCCTTAAGATCTTGCCCCGAGCTGATAGACAACTTGTCTGAATTCTAATTAATATGATGTTTTTAGGAGTAACAATATCAATCAATATACTGGACAATAAATCTGTCAAATCAAATTAATTACCACGACGATAATTTGTTGAATAGAACAAAATTATTTAATGATCTCAATACTCATTTATATCAAATCTATTACAATTGAAAAAATGCCCGGTTAACCGGTTAGCGTTTTTGGTTTCAGTATTCGGTCCTTCCGACGGTTAACCAGTTAACCGTTGACAACACTAGTTTAAATATAAAACAGAAAGAGAAATGTCCGAGCCTCAAAACCAAAATTTGATTCTTTCTGAGTTTAACACAATGCAAAAGTGTATAAAACAAGACATATCGCTGTTGAAACTGTCCAATTTCAAAATGTTGTTCTCAGTTGGAACGCACAGTTATGGATTCATAAGTTGGTCTGTATGCGTAATTGATTTCCCATAGTCGGTAATGGTAACATTTGCTTCTGCAGCTCAATCCATATCGTTAACTTGGATATGTATGATGGCTGTTTCGGAGCTGACATATTTTCAAATATGTGGTTAAATTTTCGTGGTATGAAGTGAAATTCATTTTCCGTAAACTAGCACATCCCGAAAATATTTTCGTGTTACGGCTGCTCGAGGTAAAAAAATTATCTTTTTCACACATTGAGTACTTTGAAAATTTAGTATTCTGCATTCATTTAATAAATCCAAAGTTTTCACACATTTATTCTATGGTCCTCTAATTTTAAAATAAACACAAATGGTTAAGCTCAGTCACGTGTTAAAATAGAAACATGTCAATATCACTACACATAGATGTTTTGTTGACGCATAACTTTCAATATGTTTCTCATATTGAGGCGCGATAGGGATAGTGACACAAGTGTATTCATGCAATGTTACTATTTTGTAACTGTAGTTCAAAATGACTAGGCACATTGGCATTTATAAACACCTACAAGGGTTCAAAATATTGTTTTAATGGTTAGGATACAAGCAAGATCTAATGACGCACTGTTGTTCAGAATAAATATATACACGAATAAAAAACAAAAAATAATGTTTTCTATATTTCTCGGTATATATATATACATGTCTTTACTAAAAGAACAAAATATTCAATACTTTTGATCGTCATGATGTAAACAATCCTAGTGTAACTAAAGTTACAATACTTGCAAAACCCTTTGCCGGGACAGAGAGACCAAGGAAAAGCGTCAGTTCATTTAATGAAGATTTTATATCTGCATGACCCGAATTAAATCGTCAATAACTAAAACCATTACCAGTCCAAATAAAATCAGTCATTAGTGACCCTAAATTGACTTGGTATTATATTCAATGAGGGGATCTAGCACCACGGCATAACCAGTGACCATAAATTTGGGTATCAAAGAACACTATCAATAAAAAGAGATTTGATGAATGTGTTCGACATGCCCAGGAATATAATGTCGTCTATTCCCCCAACTCCAAAAAGACAAAGAACAATTGAACATACAAAGAAAATTACCTGTCATTTGGCAGTGCTTGACAAAGCAACAGTAGCACAAGAAAACAAAATTGACAGACGAGCTTAGCTCCCATCAGTCAGATTTACTAATCTTAAAATCGAACAAAGATCAATTAAACAAAGAAGGAAGTCGTTCAGAGTGCTAGCGACGTGGGTTTAGTCATTCAATTTGGCTATGGTCTGTAAAAAAGGAGGAGAAAGTGGTCTTCCCCGAAGGGACCATTTACTCTCTTGGCTGATTCCAGGCTGGTAGAAATGCAGAGTACTAACATACAGATGAATAACAGTGACACTTAGGAAACCTCCACTAACACAAAGCCGAATGTGGTATGGACAATTGCAGACCTTGCCACAAGTACCGATTTGCTGACCAGTGATGTATCAACTAGAAAAACAGTGGACACATATAAAATGTCAATGTCCGTTTAAACAACATTTTGTATTAATATAGCTAATAATTCTGAGGACGTCAATGAGCAGAAACCAAGTATTGATATATCTTTAATTATAATAGATTCTGATTCGTCGAACAGCGACGCAGAAGAGGATAGTGACAGCTCATCTTGAAGTAGACAATTCGTTCGATTTGTATCATTATTTTTATATATTATGTAGGTTGTGTTGAGTTACCAGTATGTGCGAAAATATGATGTGTGATATTTCTTTGATTCAAAGTAATAGCTTTTCAAATATTATTCATTGAACAAAAACAAAATTATGAACTCCCTCAAAAGGATTGGTTTTGAACCAATATTACACAATCAGTACAACAAATGTTTCTTGAGTTATTTGTAAAGTATTGACATATTGGAAATATTGATTTGTTGTTTTTTTTGGTATCATTCCTTGGTTCTAGCCAAATGTTATACCGATTTAACAATTCGCTCTCATTTGAGTGGTACTTTATATATAAAATATGTATTTCATCATTATATAAAACGTCTGGAAATTAGTCGACGATCTATCTTTATAGGGCGCTGGATCGTTTAAACGAGTAACGATACATGTTCACAATAAATAAATTATATTAACGCCTAAAAAGTGTATAAATTAACACCAGTAATAAAAAAGGAAACATTAAATACAATTATTTATATTTATTTCGGATAACAGATATCCTTCTTCAGTATGATTATGATGTAAACTGAACCATATCAATCTATTCTGATTTTACTGTAACAATCTTGAACTTATTAAATTAAAACCGAACACAAACACGATTGTTCAATTCAAAAATTTCAAAACATATTAGGTATTCAAAAATAAAGTAGGTTATATAGGTATCTACAACATAGACTGCATAGATATGCTTCTTATAAAATTAGTACTGTCCGATATGAACTGGTATATTTTTTAAATTTCAAAGATGACGACAGTTGAGATGCTAGAACAAAGACTAGGTGACAAGCATTTCCAAATGAACACCACTGACCGATCTAAGCTGGTATAATATTTTATATTTGACAACAGTTAAGTTTTAACAACAAAGGCTGCGTATTTAAACATCCCAAATAATTGCAGTTTGATAATGAGAAAACAAAAATTGATTTTAACAAAGGTTAAGTAATTGAAAGTGGCTGCGTACTTAAATATCCCAAATGAACAGAACCCTGCGATTTAAACTGGTACAAGTTTTCAAGAATTTTTAGAGTAGACAAAAATAGAGGAATTGCAACAGAGACTGCGTATTAATATACAATATAACCAAAACGAAATGTAATGCGTGAATTTAGAACTACATCTTTTCATTTATCCCATTTGGGTCCAAAATTTTTAATTTTCTTATCCAAAATCTTTCCCGAGTGAGTCTATCCTCCCTAGACTAAGCAGTGTTGTGGTCTTATATTGTAATGGTAAGTCGATTGAGATCTGCCTTAGTATACCAAGTATCAAATGTCGACTGAGAAGAAAGTCTGGCTTTCATTCATAGTCGCTAATATTGCCGTTCAATCGTTTGTGAAATGGCTGTTCTGACTCGCCTACGTACTGTTTACTACATTTACACTGTGGAAGATACACAGCATTTGTAGTATTGCAATTAACATTGCAAAATATGGTGTATTCCGTACCAGTGTAGTGAATATTTTGGCAAGTCAGACATCGTTTGTTTCCGCATCCCTTGCAAGAACCCACAGACGAAGTGCCAGTTTTAGAGGATAAATCAACTCTCACCAACAAGTTTTTAAAAGTTTTTTGGGCATACGGAATGACATTACAGGTGGCTCGGGAAAGATATGTATAATTTTGGATGTTTTTCGATTTCTTTCCAATTTTCGGCAATGAGGTGAGTTAACTAGTCGAATTAGGGATGGTAAGTCATCACAAGACGCACTCTTTTGTTGATTATATATATATATATATATATATATATATATATATAATTGTAAGTACTGCAAAGTCGCCAACATCGAAACCCAATTCGTCAGCACAATCACAAAGAAACAATACAACATATTTATATCATCAAATTGCAAATCGCAAAATTTTTTAATGTCCACCAGACACCGAAATGAGGTACAATGTAGATATTAGAAACTACAGGTAACTGTACCGCCTACATCAATGAGCATATATATATGTCGATATCTCCTGATTAATAAATTATTTGGATGTTACTAGAATATCTTCGAGGTTTTTGGGTCTACGGTAAGCCATGACGGGAGGTGATGGAAAAATCTCGTTTAAGGAAGGATCATTTTCAATAAGACGCCAGTGTTTGTGGACAATGAATATATATGTATATATATATATATAATGTCTAAAAATAGCAACAATCAACATTCAATCTATTTATTGATTGATTGATTGTTGGTTGCTTAACGTCCAGTGGCAAATATTTCATGCATATTCAGGACGAGAACAAATTAACAATAAATACAATAGGTAGGTTCTGTAATAGGGGCGTCCGGGAATAAGGTCGGAGAAATTTAGACTGCCACGGGAAATGAGGGTATATTGGATAAGGACAGAAATTTAGCCTCGCTACAGATCGCCTACGGACACCTCAAAGAGTTTTTGCAAGGGTTCTTAACGTGCAAAGAGCGTAGCATTCTCTTTACACGAGGCATCGGATTTAACGTCCCCATTCTGACCGGACGTGGCTGCAAATTTGTACATCCCGCACAGCCAAACGGACGCCCCACTTTAGCAAGGGTTTTACTGCCGGTCGGAGGAAGACCAATGGTGACCGTACTTCTATTCCCCAGTCACCCTTGGGGGGTTCAATCTATTTAGACGTGGATCAGTTCGTGAAAATAAACTGATACAGTTACTGAATTAAAATTATATAAATGTCTAAGAATATAACTTAAGCACGCTAATTAATAAATTAAAAAGTTCTATTAGATTTTAATTAAAAATACGCAATATTTCGCTAAACAAATTAGCTTCATCATGCGTGTGCATCTCTCAAGTTAAAATCGGATGCATGACAAAAAAAATATTTGTGTAGCTTGAACTACACAAAATTTGAGTAAAAGTTAAGCATATTTATTGATGTTCTATAAAAAAATATGTTTGTAGCTACAACTTCATAAAGTTGGAGTAAAAGTTTAACATATTTATTGATATTTGATAAATTGTATGAATTTCAATAAATTAATTTGTATGATTTCAAGATTATTATTTAGATTTGTTTTTAAATCATTTTTCGTCTCTCTCATTTAGTCCATCAGATTAAAGAGTTCGTAACTGGTGCATTCAAAATCCCTCTCATTTTTGTCCTCCTTGTGGATCCCAATTTTGGTTTTTCTTAATGATTTGAAATGTGACGTTTTCAAAATCAAGCCCTGCTCTTAAAAGATGTCTTGTGATTGGGCAGTTTCTTTCTTTAGTATAAAATGACCGATGATTATTAAGTCGGATGTTAAATGATGTTTCTGTTTCACCAACATATTGCAACTTGCATAATTGGCCCGAGAACACAGTTATTTCGTAGTGCATTTCTTTTAGACAATAAATTCAAATTAAAAAAATCGCACCTGCTCTATCTCAAAAAGGTTTTTTACAGTGTAGTGTTCTACTATTGATACAAATAATATCAAAATTATAGAAACTTCTACCAGCTCTAACTCAAAATATTGACAAGTCTGTGTTAAGGGGGGCTAAAATTCAGTTTGACAGCTTCAGACATTCGAATTTTTGACCTTTTTTAACAGGACCAAATCACTACTTAACATAAAGATTCAGCACCCAAATTTTTTTAACAGGTAATTTCATCCCCTTATTTAATATTTCATGCATAAAATATCAAGAAATGAATTGGGAAAGTGTATACAAAAAAATGCAAGTTATACACTGTTCACACTAGGGACTATATTCGTAGACAACGAAAACCAAAGGACTATAACTGTGTCCTTGGACCTAATGGGATAGATTGACTTGACAAATTTTAATTAAACTTTGCACGACTTAAGTTTATGAAATTATAAGATAGTTGGCCAAGTTTCATGGCCATAGGATATATATTATAGAAACTAGTGTCATTTTAATATTGAAATTTAGATGTTTATTTTTGACGTTTAAATCAAATATTTTCAACTGTCAAGATTTTGGCCTAAAAAATTTAAATATTGCAAAAATTTGCTTTTTAAATACTCTTGAATATAAGATAATAAGTATTAAAAGCAACGGAACACTCATTTGATTTATCAGATTTATCACAGTTATTCAAAAGTCAAATTTATATGAGCCTGTGCCTGAAAATAGAGATTTTCGAATTAAGGGAAGCCTTACATAAACATGCATTTTTTTCAACCAATTTGAAGGTTTTGAAGTTTTTTAACCATACATTATTCTTCCATATATATTAAATGTACTTTAAATGTAAAGAAAAGTTACAAAATGCATACCACATGAGTATAAAATGGTCTTCGGCCATGTAAGACTGAGAATTATTTAGAGTCGATTTAGGCCTTAGCCCATATTTACATATAAAAATGCACACAGAGGCTATAAGAAATGGAAATTTGTTACTTTTTGCTCAATTCTATGCGAAGATGTTATGATACAAGAAGTCTAATTGCAAAAGGACTCTTGAATTCAACTTTTTTTTGCAGACAGTATAGTCTGATGACCAGTTTTTCACTTTTCAATGGAAAACTTGCATGTAGTTTTAGTCTCAATTGGCATATATTTACTATCCTAAAGAAGAAAATTATGGTAGCATATGAAATGAATAGGGTGTACTGATCATTGTAAAGTGGTTTTTTTTTACAGATTTAGTGAAATATTTGTGATGGACTACAGATTTTATGTACAAAGCTCTTCACATTTCACATACATCAAACATGCCGTTTAACCAGGGACATAAATACAAATATTCTGCACATTTTTTCTGTGATAATCTACTTTTCTCTAGATTCAGAGTTCACAAATGGTTAATTAAATTTGATTAAGGCATAGAAACACAAATATCAGGAACATAAAAAGCTGTCAGATAGAAATTCAGCATGGCTCTTAAACATAAAATGGAAACTGCTTTAAAGTGCTTATTTTAGCTGTATAATACTAAAATGGGACATTTTAACAGAATTTCTGTCAAACAAAGATGTAAATCCTTTACTTTTATTGAGTTTGACAAATTGAAACCAGCAAACCATTCAGGAAAGTTGCCAAGGTACAGAATCTACATTGACGGAATTCATCTCTTAGGCCCGAGAACACAGTTATTTAGTAGTGCATTTCTTTTAGAAAATAAATTCAAATTTAAAAAATCGCACCTGCTCTATCTCAAAAAGATTTTTACAGTGTAGTGTACTATTATTGATACAAATAATATCAAAATTATAGAAACTTCTACCAGCTTTAACTCAAAATATTGACAATTCTGTGTTAAGGGGGGCTAAAATTCAGTTTGACAGCTTCAGACATTCGAATTTTTGACCTTTTTTAATTGGACCAAATCACTACTTAACATAAAGATTCAGCACCCAAATTTTTTTAACATGTAATTTCATCCCCTTACTTAATATTTCATGCATAAAATATCAAGAAATAAATTGGGAAAGTGTATCAAAAAAAAATGCAAGTTATACACTGTTCACACTAGGGACTATATTCGTAGACAACGAAAACCAACGAAAACCAAAGGACGATAACTGTGTCTTTGGACCAAATACAATTTTGCGTTTTGCAATTTGATGTTATACATATGTTGAATTGTTTATTTGTGACTGTGCTGACGAATTGGGTTTCGATGTTGGCGACTTTGCAGCACTTACAATTGCCCCTTCCGCATAGTTTATAACCTCCTATTGTCGATATCTATTGATTAATAGATAATTTGGATGTTACAAGAATATCTTCGAGGTTTTTGGGTCTACGGTAAGCCATGACGGGAGGTGATGGAAAAATCTCTTTTAAGGAAGGATCATTTTCAATAGGACGCAAGTGTTTGTGGACAATAGATGTCAGGATGAAAGCTGACAACAAATGGAATTGTATTTGTCTGTGCCGTCTTTTCTTTGTACTCATGTAGGTTTGTTTGGTCTTTTTCTTTTGCTTTACCGAAAGCTTCTGAAATATTTTTGTTCTTGTAACCTCTTGATTTTAGTTGCTGTCTGAGTTGTCCCAATCGGTGGTTTAATTTTGATTCTGATGAACAAATCCGTTTTGTATATGTATATATATATATATTTATAATTAAGATAAGATGAAAAGTAGTTTATTTCAACCTTTAAATTATCAAAAGGAGATCTACACGCATGATGAAACTTTTATCTAGTTAATATTACATGCATTGAATTTTTTTGTAAACAGTAATGAACGAATTAAAGTTACATTCTAATACAGGCATATTTGATTTTACACCGTTAACATACTGTGTTTATTTCAAACTGATCTACTACCTGAATGGATTGAATACACAAGAAGATGTGGCATGATTGGGCAAAGCTTTCATCTGTCCACCAGACACCGAAATGAGGTATAATGTAGATATTAGAAACTACAAATAACTGTACCGCCTTCATCAATGAGCAAAACTCATATCGCATAGAATGATATAAAAAGCTACACATGAAAAATGTAAAACACGTCACTTTGTCGCCATTCATGGTGACTCTTTTTTCGATTAAACATATCCGGACTAAATATTGTGTTGCTTTTTTCAGCATATATCAATTCAGAATAATTTTGCAAGGAATGGACTTATCTAGTTTGTTAAGCGATCGAACTTAAGTTAGTAAGTACCATTATTCCGACAATACATAGACTAATTTTGAAAGTAACAGGAATCGATTAATAGTGTGGTGGAAAACGTCAAGACAGTAATATGTTTGCAACATTATTTGGGGTTATTCCATCAAAATTGTGAAAATATATACATTCTTTTTATTATCTACTGTTTTCATAATTTTATTATAAACTTATTTTTTTTTGTATAGTTGAAAATCACATAAATGTTTTAGGAAAATGTATGAATGGCTTTAATAGTTGATTTCTGTATTGTATGTTTATTTTTAACGATAACAAATATTTTTATTCAATCATTTTCTGATAAATTAACACCAAGTATCCAAGGTCAAACGTAGGGACCCCTGTATTTTAACAAAACTCACTCGACCGGGAAAAAATCAAACAAGTTTAGAATCTCATGGTTTTACACACATATATTTAAATAACCCTTACAATTGATTTTACCTGGTAAACCTCACTGCAATACATAATCATTATCGTACATCCAGTTCAATGACTACCATTTGTTGATTTAAACTTGAAAACTATATATTTGATTGAGTAAAATGAGAGTTATAATTTTAATTGGAAATTGTTCTTGAATATACGTATGGATTATAAATGGATAAAGCACATGTGGTAAGTACTAATGTAGAAAGAAGCATAATGTGCGTTTGTTTTTCCTACATTGGCTAGAGGCATAGGGGGAGGGTTGAGATCTCAAAAAACATGTTTAACCCCGCCGCATTTTTGCGCCTGTCCCAAGTCAGGAGCCTCTGGCCTTTGTTAGTCTTGTATGATTTTTAATTTTAGTTTCTTGTGTATATTTCGGAGTTTAGTATGACGTCCATAATAACTGAACTAGAAACATATTAGTTTAAGGGCCAGCTGAATGACTCCCCCGGGTGCGGGAGTTTCTCGCTGCATTGAAGACCCATTGGTGGCCTTCGGCTGTTGTCTGCTCTATGGTCGGGTTGTTGTCTCGTTGACACATTCCCAATTTCCATTCTAAATTTTATGATATATGTGGTAATTTCCTAATATACATTATATCCACAGACATAGATTACAATGAAAATAACAGTTTTCTTTCTGTAAATATCACATACTGTATTGGTTATTATCAGTAAATGATAAGAGCAAATCAGCCTTGATACGGATATATCAGCATGTGCAATACTGATGACGTTGCCCTGTCGATATAAATCAAGAGTTTATACTGCTTTTCGGAAGGGTCAATACGGAAAAAGCCGTGTTGGCCCATGGGCTAATACAGGACGTTCACTTCCGGTTTCAATTTTCTTACGCCTTACTTAATCTTATACGATCGTTATACAAAAAAGCATTTGTATTATATTTTTCTAATAAAGTGTAAATGGTGTTAAGAGTTTTGTAACGTCTTGATGTCTTGAAACGAAAATATTTCACAGTCTTTTCGAGTACGACTTTCGATTATTGACACTGGTTCATTTCCGTTGATCAATCATCAGAACGCAGACGATCCAAGAGTAAGAATAGTAAAACTGTCTGATTTATTCTTCGCTACTTTATATTTGTTAGATAAAATGAATTGTTATAGCATAACATTAAGTACTTGGACAATACAGAAACAGCCAGTTGATAACACTTTTAATAAAAATAAATTAATTCTTTTAATAAGAAAAAACTACTGTAACATGTGTAACACATGACCTAAGAATATTAAAGTGTTATCAACTGGCTGTTTCTGTATTGGCCCTGTTTATATAGATTCGAGGTGAGCTGCATTGGACCCGAAGAGTCGAGGGCCAATACAGCTGATCGAGAATCTATAACAGGGTCAATACAGAAACAGCCAGTTCATAACACTTTTATTAAAAACAAATTAATTCTTTTGATAAGAAAAAACTACTGTAACACATGACCTAAGAATATAACCACGAAAGAAGATACAGAATTTCATATCTGAACTTGTCTTTTCGCATTCACGTTCATGGATTTTTTTGTCTGGTGTTTCAACGTTTTGGAAGAGCTTTATTGTGGAGCATTCGATATTCTCTCTTAATTGATTAATATTTCAGATACTTATATCCTTTTTAAAAGGTGCAAATGGTTATCACTTCAAATTGATTGACTTTTGGTACGACACAAAATAATGATGCAATGAAATAACGCAGGTCTATATCATTTTTAAAGTGTTTTTGCCTGTAACCACTTTATTTGTTTCAACCATGAGGGTCAACATTTGATAGTGTTTACACCCAACAGCTAACCAAGTATTACTATCATTGGGTCGTTAAATTTGGTTGAATGGTTGACAAGCGATTAAAAATGTGAGTTATGTTGTTTGTATAGATTCCAGGAGATTAATGTATCTGCATCTATTATTCCGACTTTGTATTCCTCTTGTTATATGATTATCAAAGCAAACCTTTCTTATAATGCATTATTCCCCGTAAGAGTATGTAAAATAACATTTTAAATCCTATAATGATATTAAGAGAACAAACCTCCAAAGTTACTTTACTCTCAAACAATAAAATAAAAACTGAATTCCCACAGCAGAATCCTTTCTACTCATATATTAGAAGTTAAATACTGCATTTTATTAAACGAAAGCAGATTTTTATTCGATTATCATTACATACGATAGTCCCCTATTCATCCTTTTAAAATGAAAATAAAAAGGAATTTAAGGTATCCATAAAGGGGCGACAACTATTACAGAAAAAAACAGTACATTTATTGTGTCTATGCTTATTAATAAAAATAGGACTTATAACGAAATAATGAGTGCTTGGGTTTTTTTAATGATAAGTCGGACATATGACATGTCCTTGGTCCCTACTAAATCTTTATAACAGTTTGTATATATTTTTGCTTATGTATGTTGTATATACAAAAGAACACACGAAGACACTATTTTACAAATTTGTGAAACTGAGATGTGAAATAATATTTTATCAAATATTTAAATCCTACTCTGCTATTGTCAATCTTTAAATAAAGTTTTACAAAACTTGGAACACTCAGCCATCCATTTTCAAATTTAATATATAAAATTGAGATCAGGTGAAAACTGTTTTAAATAAACCACCAAATAATCACAAGATCTACACGCATGATGAGACATTTATCTAGCATAATAATACGCACATTTACAACACAATTGAAAATACTTTTTGTTAAACTGTCATGCGTGAATTGTTACGATTCTCTATCATAAATCTATGGAAATTTAATACTAACATTTTCATCTTTATATTGTTGTTTGTAAATAAAACCCCCTCTATGTTCATCAAACTAATAAACCAAACCGAATGGTACTATAAAGCCGATTGGCAAACACATAAATGAATCACCGTTTATATGAATTAAATTATATAGAAAATAATTCTTAATGTATACTGTTTATTAACAACCGCGTGTTGACTATACTTTCAATAAAAACCTGTCAGGATACTTTGAAGTTCGAACAGTGTGTATCTTATTTTCATTCAATAGGCACTGTTTCATTCATGTGCACATGCGGACCGTATTATAACAAATTATAATTTTGTAATTATCGCTTTTGACTTGGTCTCTGTGCTGCGAATTAACTTTTTTCTCTTTTTAAAAGTGTTTGCGGTGTGGTAAAAGCGGATACTACATTGATAAAACTTGCCATCTTCAGTAATTCATTATTTGCTTGCAATCTTAATTTATTGATTTATTAAAGCTGATAGCATTTCACACTTTAAAAAAACTCTGTCCGGTATTTTAACATTCATAACGTTAATGAGTACTTGTAGTGATTTAATACAAAGGTGTTTAATAATTGATATCCTAACATTTTTGCAAACGAGTTCACGTGTCATGAAAACTGACATGTACTAGCTTTCTAATTTTTTTTAACAAATGCAAATATTGTTTGCTGATTTAAAAAATTTAGGAAGATACATATTTTCTTTCTTAAATATTATTTTTAAATAAAAATTTGATTATTTTATTGTCTGAAAAGTGTTTTCAAAATTAGATTCTATCTAACATTATCAATTTTGTGAAGATATATATCGTTAACGGTAGTTCATTAGATATTGAAGACTTTTTTTATATCTATACTACTTAAGTAACGATGTCCAGTTTGTTAGCCTACAGGACGTAAAAACGAATCAAAGAATTCAACTTTATATTTAAGTAATATATGGTGTTGATTAAAATTTACATCCTTATAGTATCTCCCAAAAGACAATACACAACACGACATCAATACAACACCCCGCCAATGTTACGATGGTGATGAAACTATCATAATCTTTTAGTTTCGATTAAGGAGTACACCTCTGTGAAGTCCAATAGAAACATATGTTTATGTATTGAACTATGTTTTCATAAAAAAAAATACATGTTTAAAACAGCAGCATATAATTTTTTTCAAATGTTATTCTCAAATGTACCTGCTATTTCTCAAAATCCTTGGCAATGAAAATTATTCATTAAAGACCTCTTTAAATTTAAAAGTCTTACATTTAAATTATCCTACATTGAACGAATTCGTGTTTACTGTAAAGTATGATATTATCGTACAACATTTACGCTAGACAAAATAAACGTAAAATACAAATATAGGACGATATTTGATACCAAACAAATAAGACATGTAAAGGTCATGAAACATAATTCAACACTAGACAGGAGCCTGTAAAGGTACGTTAAAGTAAAAATTGTCCTGAGTTTACAAAGGCATTTAAAATAGCAGGCTTTAAAAATGTGCTATCAAAATCAAATCTCATCATGGTATTCACGAAATGTACGTTATATCCTCCGTGGATATAACATGTTATTGTTTTTAATAATATTGTCATGCAAAACCCGATTTACAATAGTCATGTTGGGGCCAATTATAGCTTGCTGATCTGTGTGAGCCAAGGCTACGTGTTAAAGGCCATACTTTGACCTATACCGGTTTACTTTTTAAAAATTGTGACTTGGATGGAGAGTTGCATCAATGACACTCGTACCACATCTTCGTATATATATGTGACGTAATTCGTTTAACTAATCATCTAGAAGTTTGGGAGCGCTACCTGTTGAAGACATTTTTTAGCTAACCTGACCGAAATTCTACGTGAGCTTAGTTCATCACTTGTCGTCTTTTGTCGTTTAATCTTACAAATATCTTCTCCTCTGAAACTACAGGGCCAAATTTAAACAAACTTACATTTGATTGACACATTCAACAATACCTACCGTTATCTTGATGATATTTTAAATATTTAAATAATTCCAAAGTCTTCTAAATATACTTCCTTAATTTACCTAAAAGAATAGGGACGTTAAATTCATAGCCTCGTGTAGAAAAAGCGCCACACTCACTGCACGTTATGAACCTTTGCAACAACTCTATGAGGGGTCCGTAATTTCCAGTGGCAGTTCAAGTTCAAATATTCCCGACTTGTCATCCCTGACGGCATCTATTACTGGACCTACTTATTGTTTGACTATTTAATTGTTCCCGTCATTAGCATGCAAGAAATATTTACTACTGGGTGTTATGCAACCAACAGTCGATCAAGGAAGCATGCAAATGATCTATGTAAATAAATATTATGGTAAATTCGATGGGTTTCTAAATTAACTCTTATAAGGAACTTTCAAGGTCAAATTAAAGCACATAAAATCAGTCTGGCAAACAGAAAAGGTGACAAAAAGCGCATCGAGTTCGTTCTGATTGAAATTTTAACATGTTTAAGAACACAACCAAAGTTATATTTTAATGAATTATTTATGGGGGTCTTCATAAAAATAAGGCAATTACCCAATTAAAACAGATGTGCATAACGCTGATAATCCATCTTTACGACGGATGGCAGCCTGTTGAAAGAAAGAACAAAAGTACAAAAGCAAACATATTTTTGAAAACTGCCTATATATATATTGTTAATGGTATCGAACTCAAAATGTAAAAGAAGGATGTGTAATACTCGTGTTTTGTTTGAACAAAATAATGAATCATGGGTTTTGTTTCTATGACGATACCAAATTGTATGTTGTTATTGGTGGCTTAAGGCTTCAACCATAATGTTTTCTTTTGCAGATGAATGAAGCAACATGACAAATTGTGTATTTTCCATTATGTTTCGACTGCAAGAAATGCAGTGACTACCAGACATATCATAGCATCATGTCCGATATATATAGAGATCGACATGCAAAGTTAGGATGCATGGTTTTGAAATTGTTTCCCAAATTTATGCAGATGATTTTAAAATATTATGAAACTCCACCGGGGTTAAAACAAAAATATTTGAAGCAACATTTTTGTTTTGTTTTTACGGAAAAGGAAATCGATTTAATGGACAAGCTTCCAAATATGAACGAGTTTACAATAGAACTATGCTACAAAATACTAAGATCTGAAAACAGGTTAGATGAACCGAAATGCAAATGGGGAAATGTTCCTCACGTTACAGAAGTAGAAATATCAGATGATATCCAACGGCTGATTAATGCAACAAATTCAATTAAAAACATCAAATCTCAAGAATTGACAGAGAAATATTTAGCACAGTTGCTGGAAGAAATTAGATTGATAGCCACAAGAGGTGACTCCTTTTTGCAGCAAGACACCTTGGAAAGTATGTATAACAGTTTATGCAGATCCGAAACAGATTCTATTGACATCCTACAAGATCTTATAAGGATAAAAGCAATTGATGGTAAGTTTACAATAAATCGGTATCATTGAATACGTGTATATCAAATATAAATACTATTAAGGTATATCTGTGATGTGTCCATTAATAATTTCCTACTTCAAATTTGACACTAGTCTCGATGGAATCATTGCATGCAGATTAGTTGGGTACACTGAAATCGATATCATATGATTATATTTATACACAATTATCCGCAAACAAATTAGTGCTGGTTAAATTACTGAAAACATTAGTCTTACACATACATACATTCGGTAAATATCCCAGTTATATGATACATGTATCAATCAATTTAAAAAAAAAAATGTGTTTGTTTATGTTTGAAATTATATACTGAAAACTATTTTCCTACTGTTGAATTATTTACTTTGTTGGGTACCAATTTTCCTGGAGGAAAACTTGAATATTGAGTTGGAGTTTTAACAACATAATAGAAAATGTGTAATTCGTTGTTTAAATTCGTGGTTTACCTGTAACACGAAATCCACACAACTTGGTACTCAACAAATAATAATGAATCCACATCATATAAACAGCAGTACAATGATATAATAATATTTTATTTTTATAGAAGCAGAATTCCTACCGGATACTGGGAGTGAAAAAAGGGAAAGATATTCTAGACTCTCGATGGCCTTCATTGACACTTTTCCGAACATTTTAAGAGATATCATTCGATCAAATATTTCTGCCAGCGATTTGTACCTGCGGTGCATAAATTATATTGGTTACTTTAACCCCGAACAGCAGGCAAACTTACGACAATTACAGTATTCAAGCACATACAGCTCGTTGGATGTTACATTAATTTATAGACTTTTAAGACAGTTTCAGCTGATACCACCTCCCACACAAGGATGGGGAGCTATTCCAAACAAAGCAGATACCAAATTAGCTGATGACATTGAACGAATAAGATGCTACAGAAATCAAGTTGCGCATCGATGTGACACCAATATTGACGCAAATGTGTTTGATGATTACTTCGACAAGTTTCAGAATATTGGTCGCAGAATGGATCTTAATTTTTTCCAGAAGACAAATTTTGAACAGCAAATAATTGGGCACAGAACAAGTAGGATAGATACTGAAATGCTGAAAAAATATGAAAACGCTATGAAGGAGAAAGAATTGATACAATGTAAGGCATGCTATTTACCTTAATACTTTGTAATTATGTTTTCATTGAATTCTCAAAATAACTGCATTTCATTTGAACTCATAAAAATCATTACTAGCTTTATTTGTATACAGGTATATATGTAAACAAAATAAATTTCAATTTTGTTGGTGTATCCGTTTTTTTTTTACAAAACTCTATTGACATGTAGTATACAATCACTACAAACCAGTAACAGTCTGAAATGGCCTACATCCGTACTAGATTGTACTGATTTTTACTCGATCAGTCTGAATTGGTCTGAATTTTACCTGACATTACTCGACCCCAGTCTTAACCGTACTCGACTGTACTGATTTGTACTTGACCCTTATCTTTGACATTGAAAATAGTCTGAAGTATTACTCGACCAGTCTGAAACAGTCTTAACCCGTTCTCGACCTGTACTCGACCTATTTTGTTCAGTCTTAACCATACTCGACCAAAGGTCTGAACAATACTCGACCTGTCTGAACCATACTTGACCAAATAACCTCTACTTCTTTTAAATTTTAACTGTTAAAATAAATTTCTTTTTAACTGACATGACAACAGTTAAGTGCTTCTTGTATGCCATGTCTTTAATTTTGACAAAAAATATTTGAATTTAAATGAAATATTTTTTTTTTTAAATTACTGCAACTTTGAAACACATTTCCTTTTTTAAAAGGTTATCAGTGATTGCTATGGAAGTTTATTTATAATGATATATAAATTCATTGTTTAACAAAACATTAAAGGTGTCATTTTTTAAATTGCTTAAGTTTAAATGATTAAAATTGTCCAGTAACCATAAAATATATCTGAAAGATTCAAAATGTTTGAATACCATTGAAAATATTAGTCACAATTCAGTTTTGAGATAATTTGATCAGCTTGTTTTATCTTTATTTCAAAGGTTATATATATGTGTAACTGTTGATAAATATGGTGTTGAAGTAAAATTATGTTTATTGTGAAATTTTTGTTTAAATGCTATAATGAATACATTTATAATTTGAAATCGTTGTTCAAATTTCCAGTTTCTAAATTGATAAAATACAATGTATAGATACAAAACATAGGTCTAGGTTGGTTAGGACTTGGTCGAGTATGGTTCAGACTAGGTCGAGTATGGTTCAGACTGTATGGTTTATTAAAATTGTTAATAAAGGGTTGTGTGATCCGGGCTGACATCTCTCTCATACATGTTGATTTGTTATTAATATTATGTGTTCTCTGTACCATTCTAATGTAAATGGTTTATTGAGAAATAAAGATATATATATAGACTAGGTCAAGCATGGTTCAGACTAGGTCGAGCATGGTCAGATGCGTTTAAAATGGTTAAGTACAAGTTCAGACTATTAAGTATGGTTCAGACTTCAGTCGAGTATTATCAAGTAAATCCCAGACCAATTCAGACTGGTCGAGTAAAAATCAGTACAGTCGAGTACAAATATAGGCCATTTCAGACTTTTACTGGTTTGAAGTGAATAGGCCATACAAAATATTTCGTAACCTTAGCAGAAATTGGTTTCTCGTGTTAACCTAATGCATGCCTTCCGTAATTTCGTAGTCAATTTTCCTTATATCATTCACCATTCAGTCATCTAATCTTTTCAAATATTGAAAAAATATAATAACTAAAGGTTAAAAGAAAAATCATACATACCAAAGAGACATTCAAACTCATAAGTCGAAAATAAATTTGAACGCCATAACTTAAAAAGAAAAAAAAACACCAACAGAGAAAAAAACAGTACCCGAAATACAACAAAGTGCTCCGGAAGGGTAAGCAGATCCTTGTCAACATTTGACATCCGTCTTTTTGCTCATGTATGTACAATGGCGGTGTTAAGCCTTATTCGGTGCATCACATGTGTGGACGTATCTTATTAAACGAAAAGAAGAAACAAGAAAAGTAATAAAAAAAAAAAAAAATAATGTTATGTTTCTATTTTATAAAAAAGAAGACGTGGTATGATTGCCAATGAGACAACTTTCCACAGGAGACCAAAATGACACAGAAATTAACAACTATAGGTCACTTTAGACTATCGTTGTTAAAATGTGCATCACGTTCTATTGATTATAATATCTTTCTTTTTTACAGTGAGATTTGAGAAGAAGCCAATAAAGTTTTACTGGGGAGAAAGTTTTAATAAATGTTTGAAGAACCTCAGATCTTTGTTTAAGGACGAACAATCAGAAGGTTATATGTCTTCCTATTTTCATTTTCGATTGAAAATAAAGATTGACTAAAAACAAATATATCATATACATTAGTATGTAAATGTAGAATAATCGAAATAGTCATACATATAATAAATAGACTATCCCGTAACTTACTCGGTGCATTAAGCGTATCAATTGATCAATATTCAGTTGAATATTTTACAATGTTTAAGTCATTATAATCAGTTTTCTTGAGCATATATTGAATTAGATTAAGATTTAGTGATGTAAACTATACCAATTTCTGTCATGGGAACACTTAGAATATGGGGTAACTGACCATGACATAAAATCAGTACATGCTCATCATAATTACACAAAAAGCAAGGGAACAGCGCTATATTGAACACTAACTATATTAGAAATATTATGTTAAAGTTTATAAATAATTCCTTGTACTTCTAATCTCTTTAAAACTAAAAATAAATCGAAAAGCTTTAAAGGCTCTGCAAAAGATATTATGAAGGTGTCTGGCTTTGTTTTTTGATAAATAAAGGCAACAGTAGTAAACCGCTATTCGAAATTCGTCAATCGATTGAGAAAAAAACAAATCCGGGTTACAAACTAAAACTGAGGGAAACACAACAAATATAAGAGCAGAACTACGACACAACAGAAACACAACATTAAAATGTAACACACACAGTAACGAACTATAATATAACAATGGCCATTTTTTTATGACTTGGTACATAATTCAGTATTATCTAGCATGTGTGGATATAAAAAGATATTAATGTTGTCATTACTGCATGCAGGTAAAAAATATATTTAAACAATTTTTAGATAGCAATTCTCATTGGTGCAAATGTATTTTCACCAGTCATAATCATTTACTAGTATGTATAAAAGACATATTCATTGTTATTAAATTAGTTTTCACTTATGACGAGTACTTACAGCTGTTCAACAATTTGTTAATTATACAAATGTAAAGAATTGAACAAATCGTTACACTTGTCTCGACATCGTCTATTGCATAATGTATGTGACTATGTATATACAGAACAGTTTTATTATATCTCTTATTATTTGTGTAGGAAGACAGAAGATTCGTGTACAGATAATCTTTCAGAGTGAGGATGATGTCGAGAGAAATATTCATATCCTTAATTCTCTTAAAGACGAAATAAATGAAGGTTTACATGGAATAGAATTTATTGTTGCTACAAAGGGAAGTGTAGTTCTGATTGTAGATATACTGCTGGAAATGTTGGAAACAGATGAGAAATTTCACACAACCCTTGCTTTATTTCTAGAAAAGATTTTGGAACTCATCATGACCTTCACTACTGAGACTATTGATATGGTTCTATCACCTGTAGAAGGTTTGTCATTAATGTTCCTTAGATATCTTATTCATGATTTGTAAGGCTATTCATATAATATACTCAATTATTCTAAAAAATAGTTATGATAGTGAAGGTGTAATACCACCAAATCATAGTACGTCACATCCAGTGGCATTCGAAAAATGGTCAACTTAAATATTCCCTTGAATTTGACAGTTACAGTAAATTAATCCTACATTTCATTTCACTAAAAAAAATCTAGGTTATAATATAAGTTATATGGTTCGCTAATGACCCCCCTACGGTTCTATAGAGGGTTAGAAAAATTCATAGGGGCTGAGGCAGAAGGCAAGGAATACCTTGTTGTATACTTATGCATACAAATGAACATTAAAGCAAGTCAGCTTAATTTTACCATACGATTTCGTGAATAATATAAAAATTAATATTCTAGAATGGTCATATTAGTATGTATAAGGTTAGGCAACAGTAATTTACCGAAGTTAATATCTCTTAAATGAATAAAAAAGATACAAATCATGATATTCAACAAGAACGGACAAATTCACATGAACAATCCAATTTTAAATGGTAGCTATTAGGTAGCCGTGAAATTGCATCGATATACATGCTATCAGCTAGGCGTAAGAGACAAAATAACGGCATATGAATATTTAAAAAAATCAATGGCTACTTTCAAACTTATTCCATATGTGAACAGAAATTAGTTTAAACTAACTAGAATAAAGCGCACAACGTCAGCAATTGTATATTTTATTGGGCTACTTTGAAAATCGTTCATTGTTGGGGAAAAAGACGCCATGTTTAATGAATATGTTGGAGTTATATCAATGGTTTATAACAAAATATGAAATTGACTGCTTAGTACATTATTTTGTCCTAATATTTACATTACAGAGTACATGCAATGGAATGAAGCTAAAACAATTAGAGAACCAGTTTACCTAGAATTTGATATCGAGGCTCAGTTATTTGAAACCGACGATATAATGGAAGAACAATTAGGAAAAATAACTGACGTCATCTTCAAACGTTCCAACGGAAGCGGAACAAACAATAGTATTACTGGAGCTATCCTACCTTTTTATCTTGGTAACTAGTTTATAATAATACCTTAATTTCTTGTAAATATGTAATCTAAATGGAAATATCTATAAAATTATGCTGATAAAGCAAATCTATAACATTGGTTGCATTCACATATCGTGACTTAACAGGAAAATAAAACCGATAAATTATTCCTCAGGCGTCATACCACACTGGGTGCAGTCAAGACCTTTTCGATAACTTTACATTAAAAAATAATTGGAGATGCGTTACGGAAAAATAGTTCCTTGCATTTTTCTTCTTTATTTCCATTTATAAGTCTATTGTCACTGTAAAAAAAAAACAATATCAAAGAATTCCAATATCGAAAAATATTCAACGCGTGACCGTAAAACACTGATAATTTATTCATGCACTGCGGTCATTTGTAATTGATGTGTTGTTTTGCCACTACTTGAACATTTTTCTATGTTTGAATTCTTGGAGTATTTTTCTATGTTTAAATATTTAGATTATATATTCTCTATGAATATTCATAATTTATCCTAAATCTGAATCTTTATTCGATTTATTGATATCTAATTTGCTCTTTTGCTTGTTATATTAAACAAGGCTTAGAAATAAAAATAGGTGAAGATGTCACAACAAAACCGAAACCAAAATATATTATTTAACAGCTGTTTTGTTTGTGCATATATTTGACTGAAAAAGAAAAACTTTCTATTGTTCATTTCATTGTTATATCTTAACTCTTTTGTATTGGCAGGCCGTTTCTTACAAAAAAATAACTTGGTTGAATTTTCAGCTGATTTTTTTGTGGTCCTTTAATATTTGTTTAACATTCACACAAACCCCACCTTTCCCTTTGCCTATCTTGACCATACGTCGTTAAACGATAATACAAAATTAAATTAAAAAACAAATGCACAGCGAAGCTACAAAAAGGATAACCACTAACGATAACATTGAAATAAAACAAAGTGACAGAATTGGGAAAGCCAGGTCAAAATGTACTCTGTACTATAGAATGTTATCTAATGTAGCTAAAGCTACTTGTTTCATAGTGCCGCTCAAAAACAAATTAAAAACAATACTCCAAACAGGTTTAAGGAAGTTTCTTTATAAAAAAAAATGGAAATCCACAGTACTTTGTTAATGAATAAAACCCCATAACTCGGAAACTTAAAATCTAAAATTTAAAAAAAAAATGAAAGGGAGCTCACGTCAATAGATATAAACAATTCACCAAAGTTTCATGCAAATTGGTTAAAACGTTTTTGAGTTTTGTCCGACATGTTGACGACGGACGAAGAGACGGACGGTATACCATAATACGTCCCGTAAACGGGACACACCTTTCAATTTACCGTTCTGAAGGGGAACGTATGTGATGGCAAATCAAAATACTTGTTAGTCGTATATCTTAGAGTAATTGTGTGTCCCTTATGTACCATAACAGATATTTTAAAAAAACGGACAAAACTTTCTGTTCTTATTCTGTATTTATCAAAAGATCTTTAAGATAAATACATTTAGCATTTGGCCATTTGACGTTTGTCGGATAAAACTGTTTTGCCTACTATTTTGAAAACCGCTGTGAATAGAGAAAATCTGAAAAAGCATCAATGTTTAGAATGTTGAGATCTACCTCTTGTTCATGTACGTCAAAACTGTCAGACGACTTCTGATAGGAGTTATTGCCCTTAAATGACAAATTTTATCATTTTTTTAGAATTTTGCTTATTATCTCTAAAATAATAGATGCGCAGAAATTTTAAATTTCAAAAATGATCAGCAAAGATCAAGAGAAGATCTACAAATAAATTAACATAAAAAAATCATCAGACTGATTAGCTATTGCCCTGTTGATACGATTTTTAGCAATTTGTTACGTTATTGCCTTATATCTTTAAAACTATAATATATAAAACGAATTTTTAAATAGCAAAAATAATAAGCAAGGGAAGATCTACAAATAAGCTATAATGACTTGTTATTTGACTTATTGTCCTGGAATGATATTTTTTGTTACCTTTTTTGCACTTTTTGCCAAATATCTTCAAAACTATAATGGATAAATAGAAACTTAAAAAACTTTAAAAAATAAACACTATCATCAGGACTAGATCTACAAATATGTCAACATGACTGAAATTGTCAGTTAACATTTTACTAAAAAGTGGCCATAGTTGAAGGTGCAGGTGAGAAACAGGCTCTTTCGAGCCTCTGGCTGATCAACCCAACAGTTAATGTCTGCTATATTATAGGGTCTTTGCATCGGAATTAAACATTTTTATTCTAAAACCAGTTGTTGGCATGACACGGGTTATGTTCTTCTCATATATTTTATGATGGTATAATACTAAACCCCTAACAGGAGGGATTGTGCCTGATGAAGACATAATCTTTCAATCAGTTTAATTGAGGTCTGGAGCTGACATGTCAGTAACTGTTAGTAGTCTGTTGTTATTTATGTATTATTGTCATTTTGTTTATTTTCTTTTGTTTCCTATTCTGACATCGGACTCGGACTTCTCCTAAACTGAGTTTTACTGTGCGTACTGTTGTATGTTAGTTTTTTCTACATTGGCTAGAGGTATAGGAGGAGGGTTGAGATCTCAAAAAACATGTTTAACCCCGCCGCATTTTTGCGCCTGTCCCAAGTCAGGAGCCTCTGGCCTTTGTTAGTCTTGTATCATTTTTAATTTTAGTTTCTTGTGTATAATTTGGAGTTTAGTTTGATGTCCATTATCACTGAACTAGTATACATATTTGTTTAGGGGCCAGCTGAAGGACGCCTCCGGATGCGGGAGTTTCTCGCTGCATTGAAGACCCATTGGTGGCCTTCGGCTGTTGTCTGCTCTATGGTCGGGTTGTTGTCTCTTTGATGCATTCCCCATTTCCATTCTCAATTTTATTATTGTTCAAAATTTACGAATTCTGATTTTTTTTTAAATACAAGGATATGCATAACAATAAAGAAAAAAACTTGCAATAAAAGATCCATAATTTGTACCCATACGAATATGATAATCCAACGATATAAAATCTAGCCATAACTTGTGACGGAACCAGTACATTCTCAAGCGAGTAATTTAAAGCATTAACCATGTCTGTGCATGTCAAAGAATGCATATTTGTAATAGAATGACGTTCATAACAGTGTAGATATGGACACCTGGTATATTGTTGCTAACATCGAACTATTAAACTTAATACATTCAATAACAATGATTTCACACAACTACCGTATGTCAGGGGCCTTTCAATGGGATGTACATAATTACTATATTAATATGTTCCGGACCATATGAGTATTTGGAATATACGCGTATGGTCATGACCAAATGGGTATATACTCATATGGTCCGGGTAGTTAACACGTTTACTTTTAATACTTCACTCTTCATAAGGTATGACCCTTCTAGTTGCCATGTCATTTAAAAAGAAACTATCAAAAGGAAATTTATGGTTATTTGCTTGAATTAGAATTATTGCATGATTAATTAAATAAAGAGGAGCAGCTTAACCCAGTGAGTTGAACTCACCAGTTAAAATTATATAGTAAACACATTGTATAAAGGTCATTACAGATTTGTCATCCACTGACGAAAAAGGTCGACCGGATAAAGAGTCTAAACATTAATATTATCGTTAGAGAAGACAAGAAAACAAATACACCCAGATTTAGAAAATATGTGACAGATAGAGGTTTTCTACCGTTTTTAGCTTGAATAACGAGCTTTGTGTTCCAACGAAAGAGGTTGGAATTCTACGCATGTCAGCTCTGCTTACTTTTGAAACTTTATATAATTAGCATTAGCAGTGCAATAATCCGAATTTTGTTTCCTATACGGTATTCTATACATCTTACAAATTTTTTGATAATATTCATATTAATATTTGTGTCAATTATTAAAATTATTGTAATAAATTACTTAGCTTTTTGTGAGCCCTTTAATTGGAATAAAAATAATAAAAATATCTTATATTATACGTGTGTTTTTACTTTTACTTACTACCGTCACATCTCATACAATTTATAATAGTGGTAAAAAGAACACTAAAATCCTACTCATATGCTTCTAGTTATATTCTTATCAATTGACAATGAGACAACTCTCAACCAGAGACCAAATGACGTAAAAGTTAACATCTATAGGCCTTCAACCATATTTTTCTTTCAATTTATTCTGCAACTCTTGCTAGCTATTTCTTTAAGTTGTAATACTAAAACGTTTCTAATACATATTTGAAAAAAAAATACTAATATGGTCCGGAACAAATATATATATGAACACGTGTCCATTTATAAAATAAAAGGGTTTTGCATGAAATATAAAAATCTTTTGAAGAAAAAGCTATGTTAGAGGTAATATCATCAAATAATCAAGATAACAGAAATAAGTATATCAACAAATTTCCGGTTATAACATAAATTTGTTTCTCATGAAAATTCACAGAAATTTGTTTTGAAATATGATTTATATAATCACATCAAAAATGTTCATAGTTAACATCATCAAAAAATCAAGAGATAATAAATAAGTTTTATTGTTTTCCTGCAAACCAAAACATACGAGACAACTATTCGTATGAGTAAAATACGTTAATTTTTATCTTGAGATTTTTTTTTAGTGGAAAGAACATTGGACTTTTATAAAAACCATTGAAGTCTTTTGGACTGGATAATTGTTTGCACGAAACGAATAACCGTTTCACAGATGATATCGGATATGTTCCTTATGTCGTAACTACAATACCCCTTCCCTTTTCAAGAATGTGACCTACCGAATTAGACTATTTACCGGATTTGTAATAACATAAGCAACACGACGGGTGTCACATGTGGAGCAAAATCTGCTTACCCTTCCGGAGCACCTGAGATCACCCCAGTTTTTGGTGGGGTTCGTGTTGCTTAGTCTTTAGTTTTCTATGTTGTGTCTTCTGTACTATTATTTGTCTGTTTGTCTTTTTATTTTTAGCCATGGCGTTGTCAGTTTGTTTTCGATTTATGAGTTTGACTCTCCCTCTGGTATCTTTCG